ACAGAGTGAGACACCGTCTCAAAAATAATAATAATAATAAAAAGAAATACCGACCTTGAGCCCATTTTTTTGGGTTCTCTATGCAAAGGAAGAGGAGAGATTGTGGTTCTTAATATGGCCAGGTACACTAAGAAAACTTTTTTTTCATTCTTTAAAAATTTAAGTAAATATTAATACTGGAACTCATCATTTGCATATTTATTTGTCATAAAAGTCCCAGAAAATGTATCCTCTGATGATGGATTTGATGAATATGAGTCAAAAATTTTGTTTAGCCTTATCTCCTCTTCTGCTCTAAGAAAAGAGATTGTTGAAAGACCTGTGCTGGAAATAATTGAAAGCATATTTTTATTGAAATTAAATTCTCACTTTTTATAAACAAGGGATAATGGTCAAACACAGTGGACAGTGCATTATGGACTATTTTTTTAAGTCTCAGTATAATATTCTTTTCTTTCAGAACAGGAGGGTTTCACTTACCGGTAAAGACATTTCTGAAGTTGGGCATATTTCTAAAACCCAGAGGGACCCTGCAGTAGACTTATGCAGATGACAGAGTATTTTCTTTTTTAATTTAATTAATTTATTTTTTTAATTTTACTTTAAGTTCTGGGATACATGTGCAGAAAATGCAGGTTTGTTGCATAGTTTACATGTGCCCTGGTGATTTGCTGCACCTATCAACCCATCATCTAACTTTAAGCGTTGCATGCATTAGATATTTGTCCTAATGCTCTCCCTCCCCTTACTTCCCACCTCCGACAAAGCCCAGTATGTGATATTCCCCTGTCCAAAGTATTTTCTTATTCAGAGTAGTTGCTTCAAATTTATTTAAGATTTTTATAATTTAGTTAAGTCAGGCATTTGTTGATTACACAAAACATGTCATTTTTATTTGTATCACATACACACATTTTTTTTCCTTTTAAGTATGGTATACCATATTCTCAGTAAGTATTATTATTTCTCTGCAACTCCTTTCTTCGATGGTACCAAGCAAGACAGATCTTGGGAGGTCTAGTTTCTATGTTGTGGCATAAAAATATGTATTGCACCTTTGGTAGAGATTTCAAAAGTGGTTGGATGGTGGCAAATTACTAAGAATTTTCGAAGTTTCTAAAGCCTTAGTTCCAGCTTGCTAGAAAATTGATGTTGAGTGTTATGGCTAGTTGCATAGTTGAGTTGGAAAATGTCTTCAGGGAGACACTTTTTCACTTTGTATTCACCTGTACATTCTTTATTACTTGCATTCTGTCATGCTCAGGCTATTAGAACAGGTATATTTTTATAACTGGAATGTTTATGTATAGTGGAGCTCTGAGAGGACTTTGCATTTGATCTCAGCCGCATAATCAGAAGCTTGTCCTTTGTCTCAGAAATTGGAGTGGAAATACTGAGACTGCTTTGCTACAGCATTCAGAAAATCATTTATCTTTTTATTGCAGTTCTTGTTACCAAACAATACATTTTAGCACTTCTCAAATTACAGAACTCTCATAGAGCTGGGAAAATGCCTGTACATATGTACATACTATGAATGTGCTAATTTTTTTTTTGTATTTTCATAGCCCATCAAAGCTCCTGAGTCAGTTTCCACCATAATCACTGCAGAATCAATCTTCTACAAGGTAATATTTTGTAGTTACTGAAGGAAGAGTTGGGCCTAGTGGGTAATGTGCCACTAAAACATCAGATTAATCTAAAGGTCTCTGCTGCTCTTTATTTGTATAAGTTGTGATTATACTTTTTGTTCCCTTCTTAGCTGTTTTCCCCATAAGTGGCTGTTATTTTTTATTTTTTGAGTTGGAGTTTCGCTCTTGTTGCCTATGCTAGAGTGCAATGGTACGGTCTTGGCTCGCCGCAACCTCTGCCCGCCAGGTTCAAGCCATTCTCCTGTCTCAGCCACTGGAGTAGCTGGGATTACAGGCTTGTGCCACCACGTCTGGCTAATATTTTGTGTTTTTTATAGAGACAGGGTTTCTCCATGTTGATCAGACTGGTCTGGTACTTCTGACCTCACATGATCTGCCCACCTCGGCCTCCCAAATTGTTGGGATTACAGGCCTGAGCCACCGTGCCTGGCAAGTGGCTGTTATTAAAACGTCTCATCTAGAACTGAAGTGGGAGGGGAAGATGCCTACTGAAATATGATGTGAGGATCTTAAGTATTTTTTTAGTGTAGATTATAGGAATGGTTCTTAAAATGCCGATTGTATAGTGTAAAGCCGTGGAAGAGTGAGCCATTAGTGTGATGGCATTGAAGAATGAGAAGGACAGAGACAGGATTGGGACCAGTAGTGAAGCAGGAGCGGTGAGAAGCAAACCTCAAACACCGAACTAAGGAAGGAAGTGGCTTTTTATTCGGCCAGGGGCTGCTATGGGGGCTACAGCTTTATTCACCAAGCTCCCCGAGAAGCAGCTTCTTTCCCCTTTTATAGGCTTACAATACTAAAGGGGAAACAGGTGAAACTATGTCCACTGGCTGGACATCAGACCTTACAATCTTTTGGCTTCATTGATTTGCTAGTTTACATGCAGTGCGAGTGGGAACAGGCAGGGGAGGGGGCTTACAGAGTCAAGACAAAGGCAGTAAATTATTAGTTGGCAGAGGTGTTTCCAGGAGGGAGCCTGGGCTGTGCAGATGTAGGGATGTGACCCAGTGCCCGGCTCCAGCTCCAGCCAGTAGGGATAACATTCTTTTGCAACTCTTTCAAGGTTTGTAGATAGCAGAGGTGCTGGGAACTAAAAAGGGAGTCATCTTCCCAGCTCTTTGGTGTTTTATTTCTTTTTTTTTTCACTCTTCTTCCCATCTGGAGGGGAGGAGGAGGTGGAGGCCAGGAAGTGAGAAGAGGGAAGGGGGTCTCCCCTCTCAGTAGAGGTTGTAGACTGTGTTGTCAAATGGGTAGAGTAGGCCCAGAGATTCGAAAATGCCTTTATGTGGAGTTGAGCTGAGTAAGGGTAGTAGTGGGGATTAACACCTACTAGAAATTCATAGTGAGAGGAATTCCAAGATGTTTTGACAAAGAATGAGGAGGTCAAGTTTCCTAGGGCCGAAGTCCATGGAAATCTGATACCTCATTGAGAGAAGTGACAGATTGTTGTGTTTAAACCAGAAGTTTTAGGAAAGGAATTAGAACATAGACCTTTAAGGCTCCGCAGGCCTGGCATGGCACAGGAAGCAACCATTGAAGGGTATTTGGTGTTTTGGGATCTGAACTGTCATTTAGGGGACAGTGGTGTGAATGCTTTATACTTAACCCAGGTGGACTGAGAAACTCAAGTGATTATGCCCTTAAGTGTACTTTGTTTTTTTTTTTTTTGAGGTGGAGTTTTCCTCTTGTTGCCCCGGCTGAAGTGCAGTGGCACAATCTCGGCTCACTGAAACCTCCGCCTCCCAGGTTCAAGTGATGCTCCTGCCTCAGCTCCCCAGGTAGCTGGGATTACAGGCATGTGCCACCACACCTGGCTAATTTTGTATTTTTAGTAGAGACGGGGTTTCTGCACATTAGTTAGGCTGATCTCAAACTCCAGACCTCAAGTGATCCACCCACCTCAGCCTCCCAAAGTGCTGGGATTGTAGGCATGAGCCACCGCACCTGGCCTAAGTGTACTTTTTTTTTAAGCCCACTATCTATATAGTCAAAGTCTGTTCCTCCCCCCAGGAGTACAGTGACATTCCTCAGCAGGTCTGGGAAAAAACAACAACAAAAATAGTCTATACTCTCTTACTTTTCCCAACATCTCTCTTATTTTTCCAACATGTCATACATTGTTAATAATAAATAGCTACAGTTTAGCAAACAGTTACTTTGTATCAGTGGCTAAGCATTTTATGTGCTTTATTTCGTTCATTTCACTTTATGAGGTGGGTAGTATTATCCCTGTTTTCCGGATGAGAACATTGAGGCACAGCGAGGCTAATTAACTTGTCCAAGATCACATAGCCAACAAGTCATGGAGTGAGGCAGTCTCATGCCAGAGCTTAAGCCTAGAGCATAGTTCCTGGCTCTATAGCTTTAGCAAGTGACTGGCTCTGTGATGAGGACCAACCTCTCTAATGTTTATCTGTAAAATAGGAATCGTAAATAGTTACTACCTCAGTGGACAAAGTGAAATTATATTTGTTAAGCACTTAGCAGAATAAGCACTCAATGAATAGTAGGAGTTATCACATCTTCATATTTGTGCATTACCTTCACAGTTGACAGATAAAAGCCAGAAGCAAGTTGTTGAGCTTACAGATTTAGTGTACTAATGATTTCCATGTTTGTCTCCATGGAAGGGCATGTGGGATCTGTTATTGTGACTGTCTGTACTTTTGTATTGTTGTCTACCACTCATGTTTATTAAATGGTAAGGACAGTGATGCAACAAAGTAGTAAAAGTAATGTTGCAAATGCCCAGTATTGTGGGGGCTATCACAGCAGTGCCACTGGCAGGCAGCACCTTGGTGGTAAGTTCAAGAGGTCACTGCCAGCCACTGAGCTAGAGATCAGATCAGGCATGCAAGAGGAAGCTGACTGGGAGCCACTAGGGATCATGGCCAAGAGAGTGACCACCCAAGACCCAGAATGGCTGAGTGGCCTCCCTGGAGCACGGCAGAACAACTCTGTGAACTCAGGTCTGGTGATGCCTAAACTAGTGCTGTTCACCATCTTGTGTGGACCCCTTTTGTCCGTCAGAAACCTTGAACCCTCTCAGCAAATGAGGTGACTACTCAGATCAGTGACTTAGTCTTGTTTGGTGTTATATATATGTACTCAACATAGTACATATTAATAAATACCTAGTGCCGGGCATGGTGGCTCACGCCTGTAATCCCAGCACTTTGGGAGGCCAAGGCGGGTGGATCACGAGGTCAAGAGATCGAGACCATCCTGGTCAACATGGTGAAACCCCGTCTCTACTAAAAATACAAAAAATTAGCTAGGCATGGTGGCGCGTGCCTGTAATCCCAGCTACTCAGGAGGCTGAGGCAGGAGAATTGCCTGAACCCAGGAGGCGGAGGTTGTGGTGAGCCGAGATTGCGCCATTGCACTCCAGCCTGGGTAACAAGAGCGAAACTCCATCTCAAGAAAAAAAAAAAAATAATAATAATAATAAAGAACCTAAACTGCACATCTTTTGAGGCCGGGCGCGGTGGCTCATGCCTGTAATCCTAGCACTTTGGGAGGCCAAGGTGGGTGGATCACTGGAGGTCAGGAGTTCAAGACCAGCCTGGAGAAACCCCATCTTTAAAATAATAATAATAATAATAATAATAATAATAAATAAATACCTACTGTATGCCAGGCACTGCTTGCCACTGGAATCTTTCACTCAGGTGTTGTCTTTACTTTGCAGGTGTGAAAGCAGAGTCTGGGAGATGTTTTGGATTCATATTCATTCAGCATACATTTGAGTGCCTATGATAAGTATTCTCATTTAGAATTTGGGAATACTAGTTATACATGTTGACAAAGCAAACCATAAATGCAAACTATTTATATGATAAATAACTTTGGACTAGTGGCTGGGAGGAAGGACCAGCTGTTGATGGGTAGGAACTAGCAAGTAGCAGACTGGCCTGCATAGACCAGACCCATCCATCGTGACACAGGTGCAACAGCCACCCTTAGACACATGGATAAAGGGTCTACCAGGAAAAAACTCCTGGCCTATCAGGTGCTATGTTGCAGTTCAGTTACTGGAAGTATTTCCTCAGAAGTGTTTTTAGGGTTAAGGTACACGTTCTTGCAGCTTTACCTTCTGCCAAGTCACTGTTTAAGGGAAGCAGCAATGAATTACACTGTTCCCATAGTCAAGGACATTTTGTCCCACCAAGAACTATACCTACTTAAGGAGGTGCTGGATGTCAAAGATTTGGATCAACCATTATGGGTGTTCAGAGGAGAGATTGTTTCCAGTTCAAGACCGAGGGAAGAGGACACAGGATGGATAGCAGAGTCATAGGGAGGATTTTACACAAGACATGTACACATTAGTTAGTTGAGTATAAATAAAACAGAAATGAATGAGACACAAAGCCTTGAATGCCAGAAATACCAGTAGTTGTGTTGTGGAAGGATATAAAACTCAACTGGGAGTGGAAGAGAAAGGCAGCAGTGAGTCTAGGAGATGTACAGTAGGTTGAGGTAAACATATCCTGAAGACTACTTATAATCCAAAGATTATTTTTGGTTTGAATTTGTTTTGGTTTGAATTCATGGTATCTGTTTTTTTTTTTTTTTTTTGAATGAATGGTTGAGGAGGCTAGCTCGTAGAATACATTCTTACCAAATCAGCATTGATTTTCAAGACAGTACAGAGAAAGACTACTGAGCTGATGTAGAAGCTTCGGCTACAGTCTCTATGGCTTTGAGCAAGCCGTTTAACCTTACTACCGCTTCATCACTGTGGCCAACAAAGTAGGGATAGCACAGAGCACAGAGAATTTTTAGGCCAGTGAAACTATTAATACTCTCTGTGATACAATGATGGTAGGTACATGTCATTATACATTTGCCCAACCCCACAGAATACACAGCACCAAGAGTGAACCCTAATGTGAACTCTGGTCTTTGATGATGCTGTGTCAGTGTAGGTTACTCTATGTAACAAGTGTACCACTGTAGTGGTGGGAGGGATTATTGATAATGGGAGAGGATATGCATGTGTGGGGGCAGGCGGTATGGGAAATCTTTCTACTTCTGCTAGTTTTGCTGTAAACCTAAAACCTCTGTAAAAAATAAAGTCTATTTTTAAAAAAGTAGGGATAGTACTATGGCAATGTAAAATCAAAGTAGGGCTGGGTATAGTGGCTCACTCCTGTAATCCCAGCACTTTGGGAGCCTGAGGTGGGCGGATCACAAGGTTAAGAGATCGAGGTCATCCTGGCCAATATGCTGAAACCTCGTCTCTACTAAAAATACAAAACTTAGCTGGGCATGATGGTGCCTGTCTGTAGTCCCAGCTACTTGGAAGGCTGAGGCAGGAAAATTGCTTGAACCCGGGAGGCGGAGGTTGCAGTGAGCTGAGATCACGCCACTGCACTCCAGCCTAGCAACAGAGCGAGACTCATCTCAAAAAAAAAAAAAAAAAAATCAAAGTACTTTATGAACAAATGTTTTTTCTAGATGTAAACTGTCGTACACGCACCCTCGTATGTGTATGTATAATTTTCATTCAAAAGTGAAACAACTTTAGCATTGGCTAAACAAACAAACATGTAAACATTGATCCATTAGTCTACCTCGAACACCATTCATTGACCACTTTGAAAACTTGCTTACCTATTAAGGTCCATTCATAGCTGTGGTGTTCTATTTTTTTTTTCAATGTGGGATCATGTCTCTTTCCCCCAGGGAGTATATTATCAAATTGGTGACGTTGTTTCTGTGATTGATGAACAAGATGGAAAGCCCTACTATGCTCAGATCAGAGGCTTTATCCAGGACCAGTATTGCGAGAAGAGTGCAGCACTGACGTGGCTCATTCCCACCCTCTCCAGCCCCAGAGACCAATTCGATCCTGCCTCCTATATCATAGGTAAGTTTGACAAATGGTACAGGTTCTTTAACTTAGTTAACTCTCAATATTACGTAAAGGAGTATGTTAGTCAGCTTGTGCTGTCATGACAAAATACCACAGACTGAGTGGCTTAAGCAACAGAAAGTCACTTTCTCACAGTTCTGGAGGCTGAAGTCCAACATCAAGGTATTGGCAACAGGGTTTCTGGGGAGGCTTTTCTTCCTGGCTTGTAGGTGGCCACCTTCTTGCTATATCCCCACGTGGCCTTTCCTCTGTGTGTACACATGAGGGAGAGCTCTTTGATGTCTCTTCTTATAAGGTCACCAGTTCTATCAGATGAGGGCCCACCCCGCCCTTGTGGTTTCATTTAACCTTATTTGCCTCCCTAAAGGTCTTATCTCCAAATACCATCACATTGGAGATTAGGGCTTCAACATATGAATTTAGAGGGTGGTGGGGGAATGCAATTCAGTCCATGACAAAAAAAGCGTAAGTATTATTATGTGCAAAAAAATTAGAGGGCTTTATAGAAAATATGAGGCATTTTAGGGGAGTTTGAGTGCTGTCAGTTATTTTGAGTTAGAGCAATATGCATCTACTAAGAAGTGATATGGATAAGATTTTTTTAGACTTACCTAGGGTTAAACTGTACTACAAGAATTTATTGCTTAGGGACTAAGTTATTTAGGTTACTTACTTATACAAACCTACTAAAAAATAATTTAGAAAAGAACTATCCCAGTTATTCCATACTTGGAAATTCTGACGCCTGTAATCCCAGCACTTTGGGAGGCTGAGGTGGGTGGACCACGAGGTCAGGAGATCAAGACCATCCTGGCCAACATGGTGAAACCCCATCTCTATTTAAAAAAAAAAAAAAGGAAATTCTGAGTATTTATGCCTCTGCATGATATACACGTTATCTTAGGCCTTTGTAGCATAAAGGCTGATAATTGAAATGGCAGCTGCTGTGCTTTTGTTAATTTCAAAAGGTATGATACAATTTTGACATAGACTCACAAGAATTTACTGATTAATACAACCTTGAAAGTTTTCAGATTTTTAAAGTTACTTCAGACTTTTTTTTTTTTTAAGATGGGATTTCACCAAGATGGCCAGGTTGGTCTTGAACTCTGACCTCAGGTGATCCACCCACCTCGGCCTCCCAAAGTGCTAGGATTACAGGCGTGGCCTGGCTACTTCAGACTTTTTAATCTTTCTGCAATGAGCTTGTATTACTTTTGCATCCTGAAAATAAGCATAAATGCTTTTTTAGAGAGCGCTCCAGGGACAAATAATATACCACTGTTATTTTCACCTACATGTCAGGTTTGATACATTACCAAACAATTCTAGTCTTCTGCTTGTAAGTACATAGAACAATGGACTTTCATCTACCTTATCTATGGGATAGGATCCCAGCACAGGCAGTGATGTGTCAGAGTCACCTTCAGGGCTCCTATCCTGCCTCCTCTGTCTAATCCCCAGATTCTGATGTGCATCCCTGTCCTACAAGAGGCAGCATGGCATGAGGTCAGAACACCAGTTCTGGAGCCAGATTGTCTGGGTTCATGGCCTGCCATTTACTAGCCATGTGACTTTGGCAGATTTCTTAGTCTCTCTTGACTCACTTTCCTCATATGTAAAATGGGAATAGCGCCTACCTCAGAGGGTTGCTGTGCAGAATGACGGTATTGATACATGTAAACTTAGAACAGTGTGGGTACAAAATAAACACAATATAAATGTTCATATTCTTATTTTTAAAATCCTTTCTCTATCGAGTCACTGTTTTTGGGAGGATGCCTTATTCTTTAAGCAGTTGAAGAAAAAATGATTAAGAATAACTTCAGAGTAATGCGTGTCTCAAGGGTTAATGCCAGGCTGCTCCCAGAGTGGTCTCTCTCAGTGTCTAGGAATTTTAACATTTTATGAAAATGATCTATATGCTTAAAAATGTATTTAACTTTTCCCTTGGCTGCCTTCTAGGGCCAGAGGAAGATCTTCCAAGGAAGATGGAATACTTGGAATTTGTTTGTCATGCACCTTCTGAGTATTTCAAGTCACGGTCATCACCATTTCCCACAGTTCCCACCAGACCAGAAAAGGGCTACATATGGACTCATGTTGGGCCTACTCCTGCAATAACGATTAAGGAAACAGTTGCCAACCATTTGTAGTTCACAGATTAAAACTGGATTTCCAGGCTTGGTGTGGTGGCTCACACCTGTAGTTCCAGCTGTCACACCACTGCTCTCCAGGCTAGGCAACAGAGTGAGATTCCATCTCTTAAGAAAACCATAAAAAACTAGATTTCCAATTCTCTTATATTCTTAGTACCATGAGATATGTCACAGGTATCTTTAAATGAAATTCGTAGCTGGAAAAATGACTAAAAAGTTTTTCTCCTACTACCTAGTAATCATTAGATTGCTTATTACTAGTCACTTAGAAAATTAAAAGGAATAGGGCCAGGCACAGTGGCTAATGCCTATAATCCCAGCACTTTGGGAGGACAAGGTAGTTGGATCACCTGAGGTCAGGAGTTCAAGACAAGCCTGTCCAACATGGCAAAATCCCTTCTCTACTAAAAATACAAAAATTAGCCAAGTGTGAGGCTGAGGCAGAAGAATCACTTGAACTCAAGAGGCTGAAAGTGCTCCACTGCACTCCAGCCTGGGCAACAGAGTGAAAAAACAACAGCCTGGGTAAAGTGGCTCACACCTGTAATCCCAGCACTTTGGGAGGCTGAGGCAGGTGGATCACAAGGCCAGGAGTTTGAGACCAGCCTGGCCAGTATGGTGAAACCCTGTCTCTACTAAAAATACAAAAAGTAGCCAAGCGTAGTGGCGGGCACCTGTAATCCCAGTTACTTGGGAGGCTGAGGCAGGAGAATAGCTTGAACCCAGGAGGCGGAGGTTGCAGTGAGCCAAGATTGCGTCACTGTACTCCAGCCTGGTCGACAGAGCAAGACTCTGTCTCAAAAAAATAAAAACAAAAACAAAAAATAAAATGGATAGAATAGAATGAAATATATTTTGAAGTTAAATTATATTCTATATGTGTATCTTCCCAGGCAAAAGCTGTAATTTCCAGAGAGACCATTAGGATCAGGTAGTGTCTATTTTTCTCTATTATTTATTTCTAGTAACTCGTAAAATAGATTGTATTTTTCTATAAGAACAAAATATTAATTAAGGTATAGATGACTGACCAAGGGCTTAATCAAATAAAATGACTAACAGTATCTATCATAAAGCCACACAAGCCTTATGTTCTCATCTCAAAAATGCTGTGGCAGCTTTTTAGTGCTTTAACCGTAAGGAAAGTGATGGATTATTTTATTAGCCCAGACTTTTTAAAACTTTCATCCAGGCAGGGTGCAGTGGCTCACACCTGAATCCCAACACTTTGGGAGGCCTAGGTGGATGGATCACTTGAAGTCAGGAGCTCAAGACCAACCTGGCCAACATTGTGAAACCCTCTCTCTACTAAAAATACAAAAATTATCTGGGTGTTGTGGCACATGCCTGTAATCCCAGCTACTTGGGAGGCTGAGGCTGGAGAGTTGCTTGAACTCGGGAGGTGGAGATTGCAGTAAGCCGAGATCATGCAACTGCACTCCTGCCTGGGTGATAGAGCAAGACTCTGTCTCAAAAAAAAAAGTCTTTCATCTAATCCTTCTGTAGCAAACAGGCATTCAGAACCATTCCAATGATCTTCATAGTGCTGCTCTTTACTGTTTCTAGTCAAAACGAGGCTTCCGATCAAACCATAAGATTTTATACTGCAGATAGCTTCACCAAAGCCACAGAGGAAACACGTTCAGATCAGGCATCCCGCTTGATGGTTTCTTGGCTACCATTAAAATGAAGATTGGGCAGTCATGAAAGTCATTGATAGGCCATTAGCATTGATAATTTTAGAATGTCTACCCTAAACCATCTGCTATGGACCCATAATAAGAGGCCTGTTGTATATGAAATTGTCTAGAATTCAGCTGCAGGTCTTTGCCAGTTAAGTAAGGGAGCACCATGTAAAATGGAGGAGTGGGATGCACTCATTTGCCTTCTCTTTCCTGATTTAACCAGCATTTTTCAACCCTGGGAAAATTTGCAGAATCTAAGTTGATTGTAATGATTTTGAGCTGCAGCACCTTTAACTCTTACCCTTTTTCTACAGTTACGGTTTGTCAGTTGGAAACAAACAACTGTAGGTAGCTCCATGTACATAATTATCTCTTTATTCACAAAGGGTATAGTAAATTGATTGTAAATAACATTGTAAATAACTTTCTAAATGCTAATATTCAAAACTTTTGGATTAAAATGTATTTTTCAAAGTGTACTTACTTTTGATTTATTTATTTCATTTAAAAAATTTAAATAGGGCTCTTTAATCAAAAATGGTATTTAAAGCCAAAACAGTATAGTGCTTAGAATTTGGAGTAGATAGATTCATCATCAATGAGTAATAAATTTTAGGAAAATCAAAAAATGGCTAATAAAATGAACACAATGGAAGATATTTATTAAAATGTAGACTTAATCTATAAATTGGCCATATGTTTATAAATTGATAGATGTGTACTATCATTTTAAAATAAAGATTAAAATTTCATATTCCTCCTCATCCAGTGCGATAGTTCCCAAGGCTTACATTTCTCCTGCTGAGGCTGGACCTGATAGGGCCCTGGTCTGTGTTCCAGCCCTGTCTTCTCACTACCACTAAATGTTTCCCCGGTACACCTGCCTTGTTTTTCTGGCTCTGAGCCCTTGTTCATACTGTTCCTTCCAATTCTGCCTTACACAGGCCTTTCTTAAGGGCTTCAGAGTCTGTCTTTCTATGAGCCCTTTCCAGATTCCCATGGCTCTTTGAAATCAATCTCTATCTTATTGTCATCGCATTTAAGTTTCTACTTCCATCTTTCTCACTCCTATCCCTTTGTTCCTGGGCTGGCAGGGATGCTGTGTTTTATTTACTCATCTTTGTAACTTCCACATAACCTAACCCAGGTTCTTGCTTGTGGGAGATGCTGAGTGTAGGGTCTGAATTAGATACTGTTAACCAAAGTGCTTGTTGATATTTTAGTTAATACTAGTTTATACTAACTTTGGCTGCAACTTTTAAATTCTATTGTGAATAGCCAAGTAAAATTTAGATTGTTATATTCTGGGTTAATATTAGATTGTTTTTAAGATTGTTTTAAACAAGATGTTTTTAAGATGAGGTTTAAATAATCCTCTTACACAAATAAAGCTTAACATGAGTATTTGAAAGAAATTACCCTAAACCATTCCGATTCCTGGCTGTAAAAGGCTTTTCCAGGCCTAATAGGTTTTCCATTTCAGCCATAAGTAGGTTTTCCATTTCAGTTGTAAGTAGGTGAAATCAAATAGATAATAGAGGGAAATGTATTTATGTGCCCTTACACACATGCATGTGTGTTGTGTCTACATAGATACATTGCACAAGCGTAGAATGAAGTTTCTGTCATACCCAGAAAAGGGAGAGGCATTTCTGTGGATTTTATCTGGCTTCCCTGGGCATGTTTTCAGAACTATGCTACTTACTTCATACCAGGTGTGTGAGCCATACTTTTGGTAGGAGGTTATACCTCCTACACCCAAGAAATACAAGGCAGGAGAAGGTCTGTGCCAAGAAGGAACCCAAATGACCCACAAGAGGTGGGCCATTAATTATTGGGTTAGATGCACAAATGCACGGTCATTTCTTTAACCACCTCTTAATGGTGACCCACAAGAAAGATTGCTAGTAATAGTGGAAAGGTTCACACTAAGAGAAAAAGGCAGAATGTAGAGCTGTATGATAGCAATTCTTCAAAGAAGAAGCACCTTTTATAAAAGATGGAGCCCAGGCACAGCAGCTCATGCCTGTAATCCCAGAACTTTAGGAGGCCGAGGTGGAGGATCACTTGGGCTGCAGTAATCCCTGATTGTACCATCACTCCAGTCCAAGTGACAGAAGTGAGACCTTGTCTCAAAAAACAAAACAGAAATGCCTCCAGAATTTTAACATGTCAACAGAGGTTTTCTGCAGTTACTTTTTCTGCTTTATAATTTGTAGTATTTTCCAAATTTTCTCTAATGAGCAGTATTTTCCAAATTTTTTACAATAAGCTCACGTGCATGCACACACATTTGCATACTGCCCAACTGGTGGTTACCACTGGCTTTTACTTCACACATAGAGTATTTTTAAAGTAGTAGTTCTTAAACCCTTGCAAGGGAGATGAATGACCAGCTGAGGAAATAAATTCAGTGATGTCATTATTTTCCTATATTCACATCATGATTCTAGGAAAGAACTCAGGAGTGACTTCCTTCAGCTTCAGCTGCTCCTGGGCTGCATGCACACTAAGCTCTGTGGTAAAGGTCACCAACTTCTTCTGCAGGGCACCTGTGTCATCTGAATTGGAGGTTTGGCAAGGGTGAGTGACTGATGCAGGTTAAAGTTTATCTTTCCTCTCCTCCACTTGAAGTCTATCCTCCCTTCCGACTGCCTGCCCTGCTGACTTAAGGCCCCAAACACCAAACACAGAAGCAACAGCCTTACACAGAGTGTTCAGCAAGCTCCCTCAATTGTGTAAGGTAAAGTTTCTTTTATAGATTCCTTATTCTATATTGCTCCTAGTGGTTCTGTTTCTCTGATCAAATTCTGGCTGATAACAATTGCTAAGACTTTGAAAGAGAAGGCAAGGAATTACTGTTTTTTATTATAAACTATTTAGAATTATTTGGTCATTTTCTTTTTGCCATGAATATGTAGTACTTTGATACATTTTTCAAATTAAAAAGTAATGAAAGGGATCACATAGGGAAAGATAGATTGGACTATTTTTAAAGTTTAGATACAAAATTAAAAAGCAAAGAATAAAACGGGAGAAACAGCTCCCTCATGTGGCTGTTGGCAGGAAGCTTCCGTTCCTCTCTATGGGCCTCTCTACAGCTTTGCTCACAGAAAATGATGCGTGACAGAAGGACAGAAGTGCAGTTGCAGCCAAGATGGAAGCCACCATCTTTTCTATAACCTAATCTGAAAGAAATGACATACTAGCACTTCTGCCATATGCTGTTGGGTCACACAGACCAACTCCGGTACAGTGTGAATTCACAGGACCACACAAAGGTGTGAATTCCAAGGGCAGAGACCACTAGGGACCATCTCGGAGGCACAGAGGGACACCTTA